CATTAATTCAAAAATAGATTACTAGTCGTAAAATAGATTACTAATACTTTAATGTGGAATTTAATATTTAATTTCAAATAAGTTTCTAAATTAGTTCCTACATCCATTACAACTATTTGGAGATATTTCCAAATTCGACAGGTGTCACTAGTTACACCCCCCATAACACATTAACTTATAAATAGGGGTAGTTTTGGAATCCAAAAAATACAATAAATCAGATTTTAAGTTATATTAGGTAACTTGCTTAGTTGGATCCTAGTCATCGGGTATTATTTGAAAAAATTGGGTATTTAAATAGAAAACTAAAGGAAAGGGTTGTAGGTGATTTAAAATGAATTTTAGGGGTCTAAGCTCAATTTACTATAAAAAGAAAACAAAATTCTTATTTATTTCGTGTTGGTAAGGGATTTATTAAGTGACATTCACTCTTGCACCCAAGATCTTGTTTGATTCCTTGTATATAAAATAAAAAAAAGGGCTTCTTAGATATGGGTCCATTTTCATTTACATACAACGGATGCAGGACACTAATTGGACTCTCTTCAATTGCGGTCCTCCCAATCAATTGTATGGCCAGGTAAGCAAACCTTGTAGCCACCATATTCGAGACATTTACAATATATGACATTGGTTGAAAATGGCAAGTACATGCAAATACCACTTTTAAATATCAGTTTTCTCCTACAATCAAGCTTATGACATTCAATTTAAATGATGATTTCATGGCTCACAGATTAAAAACCTATTTAATTCAAATTTCAGCTATATACATATATGATATTTTTTAGAATTCTATATTCGTAGCTTTATTAAATTGGTAGCATATACCTACCTTTTAGCTATAAATTTATATATTGAGTTTTTCAAAATTCTTTATGGAATTTTTTTGTCATAATGTTAATTTTTTAATATACCTAGTATGGAGGTATAACTTCTTCTTTTTTAAACATATGTGTTTTACCTGGCATTGAGGTGCATCCAATATGTGTTTTACCTAGTACTGAGGTGCATCAAATATGTTCTATACCTATTAGATAGGTGTATCAAGTTCAATGGTTAGTAGGGTATTGTACCTGAAGAATAGGATTATCAAATTTAAGAATAATATTAATAGTTCATGAAGAAATAAACGAGTACAATAGGTCCGACATTTACATTCAAAATGTAATTATTCCTTTAATTACATGATGAAATCTAATCATTAATGGCTTATAAATCCTCATCTTACCCGTTTTAGACAATAGGGATATAATAGGAACAAAAAATTTAAATACAAATCAGTTAAATACAAAAGATTGAGTCAGCATGTCAAAAATGGAATGTAATCTACATGGCAAACTAGTCAAAGGACTTGTATCAACAAACAATAATTCGAGGACTAGACCCAACTATTGGTTGGATTTTTGGACCTCTATCAACTTTTCTAATAAAAAAATCATGTTTAAATGAGCTTGAATGAATGAAAGTGGAGGAAATTAAAGAAGGAGAACATTATTGTTAACTTATTGATTGAGCTGACCCTTCTTTACATAAAGAGGGACTAAAGTCCACATTTACAAGGGATTCAGCTGAACATGATTTACATGTTATTTATTTCATTACATTACACATACATAGCTTCAAACCCACAATATTACTACAACACACGACACTGGTTGACCACCAAACGACGACGACGACTCGTACATACACTGAAATTCAAACACGGCAAACTGAAAATACATACAGACACTAATCTTCTTCACACAGCGACCCCCATAATGAGAATGTCCTTCTCTCTCTAATGAGAGAATTATTTACTGCAACAGCTCTGTAACCCAGTCGAACTCCGGCAGCTCCGAAACCGATGGTGCTGCCTCTACCATCTCATAATTATCCATCGCCTCAATCTCGTCTTCGAATTCGAAAGGCTCATCACTCAGCGTCAAGGACCTCAGATTGTTCAGGAAACTCTCCACCTTTTCAAAAGACTCGTCCATAATCTTCTTGTTCTTCAGTATCATCTCATACTCCTCCACGGTCGCTGACCTACCACCTCGATGTCCGCCTCCGTACATCCCCCTCCCCACCGGAACTGCCCGGTACGCACAGTTATGAGGACGGTACGGGCGGCGAGGGTACTGATCGTACGGATGCGGCACATAGAACTTGCGCGGGTAAAATTCGGGCTCGGGGCGAAGCTCGTCAGGGGTGTGCGCGAAGAAGCACACCCTGCGCATGCAATGCGGTGTCCCATTGCATGCGCGGGTGCGGTACCTGTCTGGGTGGAGCCAGTACTCGAACACGCCGTGCGAGAGGTCGCAGAGGTCCCCCTTGTGGCACCTCCCGTTCCGGTACGCGGGGCACGCGATTGCGGCGTACAAGTACTGGCGCGGGTCGCGCCTCTGTGCCTTTTCACCACGGTGGGCGTAGGGGCACTCGGTCCAGTCGTGGCTGCGCATGCGAGGGCACCGCTTGACCTTGTAGGCGTACATCCGGAACTCGTCCGACCCGTAGATTGCATTGTCCATGATCAGGTCGTTGTACTGGCCTGGACCCATCAGGTAACCCGGATAGTACTGGTACTGGTATTGGTACGGGTACTGGCTCAGGTACGGGTCGGGCAGCTCATAGTAACCTTGATGCACGGCTCTCCACATTGTGTTTCTGTTGCTGACACAAAAGAACTTGAAAACTTTAAGACATTACATATCCATGAAGCAGAAGAGGATATGGATATTGGAGTGAGTTGAGAGTGAGGAGAAGAGGAGGTATTTATGGTGGCAAGAGCTCTGCTTGTGTTAAATTTTTAACCGGGTTTAACCACCGTCAATCTAACGGTGACGGACGTGTAGTGGGGGTGGTGTTGATCAAATAAGTGGGTGTGACGGAAGAAGTTGCGTTTGCATGACTGGGTTGCTTGCCATGGGGAAGGTTGTGATAACCAGAGCGAGACAGTTGGTGGGTCAAAAGGAGCAGGCTTCCACCATGTCACATTAAAATCGAGTTCCCAATTATGCCCCTGGGGACCAGTGTCGTTAACTTAAACGGAGTGAGCAGTAGTTTGGTGTTACCGCGGGCAATTATTAACGGCTGCGATGGGGTAATTTGCATGGCGAGCCACACGTGTAGGTAATAAGGGCCCTGGCTTATAGGGCGATGAAACATGTACATGCATTGTGTGGAGCATGTGTTGAAGGGTGTGGACTTAAGTCGGGGAGTTTGTTTCACAGAGAGAGAGAGAGAGAGAGAGAGAGAGAGAGAGAGAGGTGTCCTTGAATTTTGCGGGCGTTTTTCACTTTGCAGTGGGGTGGGGTGGGGTCTGGTAATTACAAGACAAATCAACGAAACTAACTTATCTTGACGATTTGCACTGAAATCGCTCCAGCTAGCTTAGCTTGTCAATCCACCAGTCCAGTCTTGAAGAAAATACGGAGACCGGTGCAACCTGTTCATTTAATTGGAAAGACCTAGAAATTATCTGTAACAATATGGAACAGATTTAGGAAGGTAGCAAGAGATAGATTATGTCTGGTAATTAATCTCTTGTTATGCTTATGAAGACTTGTGGGTGTGTGATTTGTTGATGCATAAACATTAACATTATTCCTTCCATGTTCATTTCATGAAATTAATGATAGTGGATATCTTCATTTGATGGACCAAATCAAATGTTGCATGAGTGAAAGAAAACAACTTGTATATGAATTAGCATTAAAAAAGATTGAGTCTCGATTTCTACGCATAAAACTCGAGACTTAAGCGTGACTAGCTAATATACCATCTTAGGAAGGAAAGACTCCTAAACTTCTGATTACATCTAGAAGTTGAGAGGTGGAGCCTACCCCTTATTTTTAGGGCTGGAGTGGGACCCTGTACACGTCAAGAAGATGAGTGGGACCCTTTTATACCTCAAGAACCACGTTCATAGAGAAGAAAACGACACAGTTTTTCTCTGCGTCGAAGAGCATCGAATGATCAAGCAGAAGAGCCAGCAGAGTAAAAATTGAAGCGCATGCATATTAACACGTGGTGAATTGATAAGTAAAGTAAAGGAACGTATATATAATGACAAAGTTTTTTAGCTTCTGCATGTGGTGCTGACTTCTCTCTCTTTTGTCTTTGCCTACGTCAAGCATGCATTTCTTTCATTGTTTGTTGATAAAACGACGTAACCACCAAACTAACTTCTATTGACCTCACTCGTAATTTTGCTATTTCAGGCCCCTACAAAAGTTGTTATTTATTTTTCAGATAGAAAAAATAATTTCATGTAATTTCACAAAATATATAGGGCCAACTTCTGGAGCTCACTGGACTCGCTCCCCCCCAAAAAAGGGAACATTTTCGTTCACCACTTTAACCCAAGGCATATGCTCACCACCCATCTCAACATTTGACACTTGTCCATAAATATAACAATAGTTACATAAATCAAAGTAAAAGGTTAATCAGGATTATGCCTACGGACACGTTTTAAGTATTAAGAACGGTGGTGAGCAAAAATATTTCCCAAAAAAAAAAACAAACAAAAGAATTATGGTTTTATTGTACAATCTAATTTTCTTCATTCTAATCTTGATTCCTTATTAAAAACCTGAAAATCTGAAACTAATCTCTTATTGAATGTGCAATTAAGTGAAGCTTGGATAATTGTGATGTAAATGGCTTTCTCAATCAATCATTCTTCCATCAAGTTTAGAAATCGACCTAAATAATCTCTTGTGGAAAGTAAGTTACTTGATAGGAAAGATATCTTCTTGTGAAGATTTTTTCCTATTTGATCTACACTCAAATTCTATTTCCAATTTCGTACTTAGTACGATATCTTTTAGATACCAGCCAAAATAAGAAAGATAACTTTTAGATGCAATGTGTTTCAATAACTTATCGAGAATTCGATTTTGACTTTAGAAAGATAACTTCGAGAAAAGGAGTTTGTAGTGTAGTTTGATTTTCTAGCAAACACTATTTTGTTTGTTCCAAGGCACCGTTACCTATAAGTCATTTGCTTGGCATGCAAGTAATAAATTGCCAGCCTTAAATAAGCTTATCGCTAAGATGCTAATTAAAAATGAAAAGAACAATAAACTGGAGTCTAATATGTGTTAACTACATTGACACCAGTATTTATCTAAACAAATCTATATTAATTCAGTCATAATTATTGAGCTTAAAAGAGATAATCGAGTGTGCACATTCTTGTGTTTCAATTTGACCACACCACCTTTTTTCTTGGTGATTTACCACACCAAATCTTATTTCCAAATTTCTCACGTGATTTGATTTTGCCTAACTAGGAAGTCTATCAACTATAAACAAATCCTGGCCGTCCAATTGGATGAATCTCTGAGTCCCAACGACTCAAGGCAACCAGGTAAGCTTTTACCTGCCTGTACAAAATCACAGGGAGACTTGAATTGAAAATCCAGATTAGCTGTCCTGATTAAAGTTTTGAATATTTTGATCTCCCAAATTAGAGAGCTAAAATTGGATTTTGACCAGCATCAACAAAAAAGCTGGAAAAAGGTGCTCTTCTTTTTTACTTTTTATTTTTTATTTTTGGGTAAAAAGATAAAATTAGTAGCTAGGACCAGGGACGCGTACCGACTTTCCAGAGAGACGCATTATATCATCGCGTAAGACCAGCTTCACACAGAACTGCATACTACTGCCACGTGGAAGTCACCCATTGCAGTAAAAAAGCATCAAACGAATTTCAATTCTAATCCAACGGCTTACAATCCGGTTGACTCACCACTGAACCAATCCCAACCTTTCAATGACTTTCCCAAAATCCAATTAGTAAAAAGATTTATATTTTTTTAGTGAGCTTAGTGGTGAAGGGAAAAAAGGAGAAAATGTTACACAAACTTGGGTACGTGTGTTTGATTGTTATAGACTTATTATAGAAAAGGAAACTAAAAGCCCCATAAATACTCCAACACCTTCCTTAGCACGAAACAGAAAAATTAAGGTTAATTCTTCTCTTCTTTCTTCTATCCCTACCAAATTAATCCACAAATCAATATATCAAGCAAAACCCATCATCTTCCATCTTCATAGTTTTCGTTTAAAAGATTTGTGTTGATCAGAGATTAAAGCGAAAAGGGTTGTTATATTACCAAACATGGTGAAAGAATCAATGAGAAAGTGTTCGCATTGCGGGCACAACGGGCATAACTCTAGGACGTGCAACACCAATGGCCTTGGCCATGGACAAAATAAAGGGGTTTGCTTGAAGCTTTTCGGCGTAAACATTATGGAGAAAGAAGATGATTCGATGAAGAAGAGTTACAGCATGGGCAATCTGCAGGCGGCAGGCAATGCAGACCACAACAACAACGTTGTCACAATTGATCACGATGCCGGCTATCTCTCCGACGGCCTCATTCACAACAAGAGACACAAAGCCGCCCATGAGAGAAAAAAAGGTACATACAATAAATATTTAATAACCAATTTGTTAAGTGATTAATTTATGCGTCTAGGCTTTCTTCTTGTTGCTGTTTGATGAATTGTGTCATGTGTTGGAGAATGCATGTTTCATTCGATGTTTGTTTCTTTGTATAAGCTTTGTTTTTCTAGTAGTTTCTTCTGCGACTCTTGTTCGAAATTATTAGGTTTTTTCAAAACTTCTGTTCAAAATAAAAGTACTTTGTAAAATCTTGCAGTTGTTAATTAAATTAATACTGCAGCAGATGATATAATGATGCTCTTCAAATTGGTTTTCAGAGCTTATGATAACTAAGTGAAATTTTAAACCAATCCATAATGAAGTAGAATCATTAATGAGCCTTGCTAATGGGTGCTAATGAACTTCTTAATTAACATTGATGGCTACAAATTATATAAGAGCTTTGCATATAGATTCTTCTTCAGGTTTGGTTTTGGCTGAATTTGAATAAATATATGTCCTCAGGGAGGCCGTGGACAGAGGAAGAGCACCGGGTGTTTCTAGCTGGTTTGAAGAAGCTTGGGAAAGGAGATTGGAGAGGAATAGCAAGAAATTTTGTCACCACCAGAACCCCAACTCAGGTTGCTAGTCATGCACAAAAATATTTCCTCAGGCAGGCTACATATGATAAGAGAAAACGCAGATCAAGCCTCTTTGACATGCAATTTAAAGAACTCTCTGTAATTCTCTCTCCCCCTCTCTTTCTCACAGATCAATCCTCTATGCATTTTCATTTTGGTTTCAAGTTCTAAACATCTTAATTAGTTAATATAAATGACTTATACTGGATGGACCTGCAGGATCAGGGTCTTCAAGATTCTCCAATTTCACCAACAAGAACAGCTACAGAAACTTCATCAGAGGTAAGCCCATCAATTGTGTCATCAAAGCTCATTTCAAGATGAGGCTAGAACCTATTTGTAATGGCTGCTTGTGGTGCAGGGTAGCAGCTGTAAAGTTCTGCCACAGAAGATTAATACAGCTAATAGCTCACCACCACAGGTAAATCCACCAGCTTATATATCATCAACCTTAAGAACATTAACTTATAAACATCATTTACATTAATGACTTTTAATAATCTTACAGGCAAGCGTTCCGTCTCAGATTCTAAACCGATTTCCACATCTATGCTTGGATAGCCCCCCAGCTGCTCCAGTGTCTCCACCTTGCAATGTTCCAAATTACCCTGTCTTCCCATATATGGTAATTCATTAACATTCTTTTTCCCATTTTGAAGGGAACTATAAATTGTAAAGAAAAGTTATGTGATTTT